TATCAAAAATTATAACTTGAATTCTTACCTATACACACAAGTAAATCAATGGCGGTCGAATCTCTAATACACGACTTCTATTTAAACATTACATGGTTTATCTCGATATATATTTCATGGCTACATAAATATTTATTAGGAACCGTCAAACAACGACATCAGAAAGAAAATATCATCAATGTTGAATATCTTGCTCAATCCATTCGAGATCGTGAAACGGGAAGTCGAATTCGAATTCTTCGAAATGAACGAAATGCACCATCGAATTCAATACGTCGTCCATCATTATCATTAACAAAAGAAAACGATATGACAAAAACTAGAACTACACATTTTATTAATCTAGGACGAGCAAATCAAATAATTGCAATCGATCCATCGTCGAAAACTGTTACATGTGAACCCGGCGTGACAATGGAGGAATTAGTCGATGCACTACTTCCATATAATTTAGTTCCGGCTGTTGTTCCCGAATTTAAATGGTTAACAGTTGGTGGTGTATTGGCTGGAGCCGGACTTGAAAGTTCGAGTTTTCGTTATGGACAATTTGGTGATTTATTAATCGAAGCAACGTATATTTTAAGTAATGGTCAAATTATAATTTGTAATTCGAAGAATAATTCTGATCTGTTCTATGGATCATTAGGTGCATGTGGAACATTTGGATTGTTGATTCGTGCAACATTGAGTGTTCTGGAGGTGAAATCAGATTGTTTCGTACGATGTAATTATTTTCGAACAAATCAACCTATAGAAAGTTTAGCATCATTTTCTCATCACGATTATGTTGATGCGATTGTTTTCTTGGATTATACGGTGATTATTACAGGAGAACGAATCGACAAGTTAACATTACCAAAAACAGCCAAAATACAAACATTTTCAAAAGCATGGGATCCATGGTATTATCAACATATTAAAGCAGTTCACAATAAAAGTAATCACACGATGATCACTGAATACGTACCACTCAAAGATTACTTATTTCGATATGATCGTGGTGCATTTTGGATGGGTCGTTATGCGATAAATCCATTCCAAGACATATTTCAATGTTTTCCACGTTATATTCGTAATCTATTGAATTTGTTTCCTTTTGGAGGCTATAACATATTGAGTAGAACATTATTTGCACTCATTTTTACTACATCTTCACTCTACAAACGTCTTCATGCTTGGTCAATGTCAACAATTGCCGACATTTTACTTATTCAAGATATTTACATTCCAAAATCGAAAGCTAAAGAATTTCTAACTTTTGTACAATCAGGAAAGTTCTTTATGAAACATGATGGTATTCTTGAACCAATTTGGCTTTGTCCAATTCGTTCTACACTTACATCACAAAAATTCAGTCCACATTTTTTGAAAAATGATAGAAATGATAATGAATCATTCATTAATTTTGGTCTATGGACTCATCAACCTAATTGGCAAGTAGGATCGTGTGGTGGTCGACATGCAACAAAAGCATTAGAAGAAGAAGCCATGAGATTAGGTGGACGAAAAATGTTATATTCATTATCTTTCTATTCAAAAGATCAATGGTCTAGTATCTATGATGTTGAATGGTATAAAGATATGAAGAAAAAATGGGACCCAGATTATGCTTGGGGAGATTTATATGAAAAATTAATCACTTATTAGTCGATCGTATATGACTTTTATCGAATATTAACAAAGAAATTTTTTGTTTTCAAGTTTATCAGCATGAATAGCGTGTAGTTTACTTTTAAATAAATAAGTCGATAATATATATACAAATCCATTTATGACATTAGTCTTATCGATAAGAAACATGTGTTTATCTTCAACATATGTATTCATCTATCGATCGCTGAGAGAGTTTAAAATGGAAAGCTCGTATAGTTATTATTCCCTGGGATGAAAGTACAATAAAAGCATTTTTCTTTACTTGAAACACTCGTTCATTAGTAGCCATTTAATTGGCAACGAGACATATATTCTAACATTATTTTATTCAAAATTAAAATTAAATTTTCTTTTTCTTTTATTCACATCTTTGCGATGTCTATCGAAAGCGTGATGAAAATTAATGCTTGATGTTTTTCTTTTCGTTTATGCCATAAAGAGAGAACTTCACTTTGAAAGAAACAAAGAAAAACAAACAATGCATGAAACAAGACATCAAATGCAACGATACGTAAGTCAACATGCACATGAAAAATAAACGAAATATGGAAAGAATAAGAACCCAATCAATGACGACGTTGCTTTTTTTCCACTTCGTTTGTTTTGACAAAACGATTTTCAACTCAAACTGAGTGAAGTTTGTTGTTGAATGTTATCAACGCACAAAAAAAAATATATTAAATTTAAGGCTGTAAACGTTGCAGCCAGTGAATTTAGGAACTCATATTTAAGAGAAGCTACTTGATAGAGTGGTCCGTTTCTCGAAGTCTGACTTAAACTTGAAACCGATTTCTATGTAAATCTTACTTAAACAAATTGAATTCTATTTACATAAGATCTTTTTCCTGTAAATCATTACCCTTTCTCACTAAAAGATGCTTGTTACTGGTAGAGTTCTTTGCTAACAAGGAAGAATTGATATTTTCTTAAACTTTGGTTTTTGTTAAATATAAATTTTCGTTGAACTAACATTTTTCGCTTTTCATTCTATATATAATATTATCATAAAATACAATAATCGTCCTAGATTTGAACATCGTATAGAGATTTGTTCTATTTCAACAGTTTTTTTTTTATGTCAATAAATCTTTCCCTAGCATTCAGGAAATCAGCCTCTATCGTCACTAATCAATCAATTCATATATCTTAAATGATACGGTAAACAGTAGAAGTCATCTGTTTCCTGTTTTGAATATTCGAGTCAATCAAAAGCCTTAGAAAACTTATTTGTGCACATCTCATAAAGAGAAAAAAACGATCTGGATGTAGGTATGAGTCTTGTCGAAATCCATACTACTCACACCCATACTCACACTTTTCGAAAGAAATTCTTATAGAATATTGAATATTTTCATAAACAACAATAAATCAATACTTAGAACAATTTAATTTAAAATTTTTATCAGTAAATAATAAGAGAGAATGCCAAATGTCATAGTTATTTTTCGTCATTTTTTTATTATTTTTTTGCTTTTGAAGACTCATAAAAATAAAATCCTGATTAATGGTTTGCATTTGAGAAAAACAGAATAAATTTCTGTCTGACAATATAGTAGTAAATAATAATTATTGGAAATAAAAGAAAATAAAATTAAGTCTATGATAATAAAAATTATTTAAGTCTAATGACGTGGTAAACCGTGTTTTTTAACCATTTCTGACGCTTTTTGATCGAATACAGCTCTGTTTGATAAATATTCTGTAGCAATGTCTAATAACAAAAAAAAAACAAATTATTTTTAAACAAGAAACATAAACAAAATTTACCTTGATTAAGTACATGATCGCTATTTGGTTTATCAATACGATCAACAACAGCTTTAACAATATCAACTAATGTTATTGTTGGTTTGTATGAACCTGATGGACCAAACATTTCAATACATACTTTACCCTCTTCACTAACATTTGGATGATAAATAGGTGTAGTAAAACGAACTTCTGGTGCTTTGTGTGGATATTCAGCTGGTAATTTTAATTCTATTTGAAATGCAGCTTGATTATAAATTTCTGATTGCGGGCAAATTCTTCCAAGAATTATATTTGTTCCTGGATTATTAACAGGTGATTGATCAAGAAGAAATTTAACAGATGATGGATCATTATTTTCTGCTAAGGCTCGTAATTTTTCTATTTCAACTATTATACGTTTACTTACTCCTGATGCTGTCATTTTGAGTTTCTTTTTCTAAACAAAAAATTGAAATATCTACTAATAAGTGTCTCTCATTTTTTTTCAGTTCTATTTTTTTTGTACTATAAGTTTTAAAAGAGTTCGTCATTCTCAAGATTCAATTTAGTGTTTCATCACAAAAAATTATTCATTGAAATATTATAAAATGATTGTGCAATGAATTTTTAGAAAAAAAAAACACACAGTTGTTTTTAAAAACAACACATCATAAGAAACTTGCTTTTTTTCTATGTAAGATGGAAGAAAGGAGAATTCAATTAACCTGGGTGTGAGTGTGGGTTGGTTGCTGATCTTTATCCTCAGAATCATCTCTTAATTCACACTCATATCGCACACATGACCCATTCTGTTGGGAAATATGTGCAAAGCTCTAGTTTCAGAAGTCAACATTCTTTGAATAATGCGTTAACTGGAAGTTTTTTAAAATATCTAACAAACATTTCTTTTTCTTTTTCTTCTTCGTTTCTTACTTTTAAGAAAGCTTGTTACAATAATTACTGTAAAAACTTGTATTCGTTCTAAACGATGTTGTATTCTACTGTTTCTTTTGATAAATGCTATTCGACATTTTTTACTTTATCTTTGAGAAAAGTTGTTTTTCTCTTATTTCCTATTTTCCCATCGATAACACATGAATCTGTTGAATGTATTTGAGCTACAAACATAGTAACAAATCCGATAAAATAATATAGTTTTCTTAGGTGAACATGGTCGTTTTTAGTTCATATCTCAAACTTCGCTGAATAAATAATAAGCCTCTTCATTACTCCCGTCGATTCCATAACATGTGTTAGCAAGGTATTGACAAATAGTTTGTAGATGAGTTAGATATGCTTTCACCATCGTTTAGAAGGTCAAACTGTAGATAACAAAGCCTGTATTAGTTGTTGAGACATTTTTTTTTTCATGCTCTATATTTTGAACTGTGAGAAGGCAAATTAATCCTGTATGATCATCCTTTGTCACCTGTTTTTTTCATATCTAGTGGATCATTTGTACTTTTCTTAATGTCTAATATTCTTTTCTCATACATACCTTACAGGTCTCCGACACATAGTTCATCTTGTAAACCATTTGTATTAATTTAAAGAATGAACACATATCTTTCAGGTGGTATGAACACGTTTAGAAAATTTTTTATATTAACGGAGCCAAACACATCACTGATTGGCACTCTCGACTGTGATTTGCCCAAAAAAAAACATTCGAGCAATTTAGTTTCCGAAAATACTATATGATATTTTTAGTTTATAACTCCTTCAATGTCTTGTATTTATCCGAAATTGCAATTCTGAACTAATTACATCCAACGGTGTTCCATCAATATTTATTTTGATATATCATGGAATAGGAGAATCATAGCTTCGACAGTTTGGGCTACCAGAAATCTTCATTCATTAAGGGTCATCTGGTGAGCATTCATCTCTCAAGAAGAATTAGAATTACTCAACTTTTGCCTGCAGTCAAGTCAAACCTGGCAGTTTTCAGTAATTATTTTGAACTTTGTATGTATGAATAAAACCTAACGTAAGAAATCACACGTATCATCTGACAAAGCTATTATTTAATTGGCAAAAGATAGACATCATCATTTACCTTTTGAATTAATCCTCGAATATTTACAAGAACTCCTGAAAATATATTGTTTTATAGCGATCATTTAGGAGTTTTATTAATGAATTTGCTTAGAAAAACATGGAAATGAAGAATCTTTTAGTAATTCGATTTGTTGCTAGTTGCACTATTCGAGATTTCAAAATCAGATATGCATAATGTCCTTGTAGACATTATATGATTCCTACTATCATCATGACAGAAACATCTTTTTTGTAGCATTGATAACAGAAAACTGCTTACAAAGACTTGAGAAAATACCTAGTTTTCAAAAATCATTACTCTTTTGGAAGAAGAAATTGGCATATTGCAAGATCGACTTGTTCTCTTTACAGATGAAAGTCGTTTTCAAATAATGAGGCCTAAAATTCTCCATCTTTGCCTTGTATTCCTGCTCCAGTGATGTTCATTAAAAATAAAAAGCAATGTAACTAATATTCATTTCAAATAAAAAGAAAAGTAAGCATTTTTGAAATAATTCTGGATATGAACTAGATAGAGATCGGCGATTTTCGCCATTTAAAAGAGGAAACAAAACTGCGTCGAATCTTGAATACTAGACTTTTCTGGCAAGTTTTCTCAAGTCAGACTCGTTAACTAAAATTCAATAATCTGTATAAGTTCACTGTGAAAATGTTTACCGAATCAGAAGTCATAAACAGTTTATTATGCGTTTTCAGTAGATTTTTTAAGAAAAATAGGCTTTTCTTTTGAGCTTTCGACGAAAAATCCACCTTCTAAACCTATAAAAAAAAGCATCGATTTTGTAAAAAAAAACTTGACAAGTGGTTTTGAGAAAACTTGTCTGAAAAGCACAGTATTCAACAATCGTCGCAATTGCATTTCTTCCTTTACATGATGAAAACCACAGATCTTTATCCAGTTCCTATCAAAAATTATTCCAAAAATACTCACCCTTCTTTGCATTTGAAATGGATATCAGTAAGACAGTATATTTCATAATAAAAATCTTCGGATTCTAAAGATTGCGTTACCTATCGCTCAAGATTACTAAAAAATATCGTGCATTTCGCTGAAGAATAATCTATATACTCGAACTCGAATACATATAATTGAACTTTATGAGCATGTGTGTATGTATATATGTATGTCTAACGTCTAATGTGTATTACTTTACATATTTAAATGATATAATACTATTTTTTCTTGTAGATTGATTAGCCAACCACTACTCTTTCTATTCTGACTTATTTTTCGTGCAGATGAGATCCATCTTTCAGTTATTGTTATGCTTGGGACTATTCATATGGTAGCAACGACTATCATTGTTCAGCTACTTATTCGTATTCGACACAAGAAGCATTCATTGCCTCTATCAAGTAAAATCTACAATGTTGAATTTTGTTTCCCAAATGTAAAATATATGATGGTTCAAAATTGAACATTCTTTTGTATAATGTATCAATCATTTTTTGGCTCGTCTGACAAAATGGTGAGGCTACCAGAACTTATTTTTTCGTGATTCATTTACTTATTGAGTATTTATTAATTATCATAATACTTTAACACACTCACACCTTTATCCTCACCCAAATCCTGATCGATTGTTTGTTATTCACGTAACTAATGAAAAATCTATTACCAGTTATCGACTTCCAAATAACTGATATCTTAGCAGCTATCAATTGTTTTGCTATTTTCTGCTAGGATGTTTTCCTTGGGACACAATGGTCATTAGTTACTGTCATCAATCAGCTACTTGACCAAGAAACGAAAACTGTACACGTTGCCAGTTATTTCGCAACGCAACTGTAACTATCCTCATCCCACCCTTACAGCGACGCCTATGGACATAAGAATACTATATAAAATTCGATCATTTTAATTATTACTTACAGCTCTTGTCGTGTCTCCTCAAGGGGAAAACAGCAAACTCCAGGTCTCCGAAGGACTTCAGTGGACTCCGCTTATCTCTCGAGTTCTGGAGTTCATACTATTGTAAAATCTGCTCCCTTGGGCCCTCCTGGTGTACAATAGGAAATACCCTTGGATCCTCCAGGGGTACTATACGAGAGTACCCTTGAGTCCTCCAGGAGTACTATACGGGGTACTCTTGGATCTTTCACGGGTGTCATAGTGGAATACCCTTAGGTCCTCAAGGGCTGTGATAGGGGGTATACCCTTGGGTAGAGAGCTGCGGGCCTGAAAATTTTGCTTTTTGCGGGCCCGGATCTATATCTAAATTTAACTTCAGACCCGATCTACATTAAGTTACGAATCGAAATATATAACAATTGAAGTTAACGAATATTGCCTTCTTTCTTATTTTTCAAGGTTTCTCGTTCCTTTTTATCTCTATAATGAACAAAAGTCATTTCAAATGCCAAAAATAAAATCAAGTTGAAAAAACAAATGGACAATTGAAAACAAATAATCAACACGCCAATAACATCTGTTCATTACTCTTACATATTACTATATATTAATACAGAAAAATTAATCTTTCGTTATTATTCTTGTTCGTTAATGATTTTCTCATCACTAAATTGATTATCATCAAAAGTTCGAGTTCGAGCTGTTTTTGTTGTTGATGAAGAAAAAAATAATTATTCTTCGTCACCATCGTTGGCATCGACGTTGTTCGAGTTTGTTGGTGACAAAGCCAATAACATTTGATCTAGTTTTCGTTTTTCATGCATGAATAACAATTTTTGACGATCAAATTCTTTTAATGTCACTAGATTTTTATTAAGAAAAAGTAATTTATTCACCTTTTCGCCATCTAAGTTTGTTCGTCGATCAGAAATAGTATTACCAGCTGTAGAAAACAAACGCTCGACTGTAGTATTAGAAACTGGAATATTATAAATAGTTTTTACTATTGAAGCGGGAGTTGGAAATGTATTCTGATGTTTTTTCCAAAACAATAAGACATCACCAATAGGTTCCACTGTAATATTTGAAGACAAATACTGTGTTAATTCCTCCTCTAGTGATGGAACTAATACTAGATCTTCATCTTCAGCACGATGATAAAAGCATTCTAAAAGAATATTTTGTGTTGTTGGTGTAAGTTGTTGTGATTTTGATGTTGTTGAAGACTTTGTTGAAGAACAAGGCGTTATATTCATAATTGATGATCCAGAATATGTAGATGATTGACATTTTAACAATTCAGCTTTAATTAAATCTACAGCTTTAGATTTTTCATGAGGAGCGATTTGAAGTTGTTTTAAAGATGGGTGAAGCAAACATGAAATATAGTGAACGTCCTGCAAAACCCATACAGTTGTAAGACGTCGAGCTGCAATGAAATAAAAGAATAAAACAATAGATTACATAAGTGATTGTATGTCGGTAGTCTGAGTGTAATAAAAGCTTTATCATCATTTTCTCCTTGTTCATTCATATAAAAACAGTAGTTGGGAATTAAAAAAATAAAGCGGATAGCTTACATAAGAAAACCCTCATTTCTTCTAAGCCATCACAATCGTTCGGTGTTACTTCGTATTCGTTAAGTAATCATTGACGAAGTGGAAGAACTATATAGATTGTTGGTCGTTTATCATCACTAAGTTGTTCGATTACGTCATCGAACACTTTCAGAAATGAACATAATTGTTCTAAAAACTCTTTATCCAACAACAAATATTCGTTTAAATTTATACTATCAAGAACAAGGCCTAATTCATTAAAAATATCCAAAAATACTTGTAACATATGTTAAGCACCATTAAATCTCGTTTCTGAGTATGTTTGTACTCTTTTCGACATCTTGGTCTGTTTATGATACCTTCACACATAAGAAACTATTTTCTTTACACGTTCAAATAATACTTGAGCAAGATCACATTGTACACGTGATTCATCAATTTCTTTTTTTAGTAAACGTATGTTCAAGCTGTTTGTTTATGAAATGACATGAACAACCAATACGCTGACAGTTTAATTTGAATGTTGAAAGCATCTTTGGTTCGTTATCGGCAACAATGTAAACATTTTCATTTAACTCTAATCTATAGTCAGATAGTTTTGATTCAACAAATTTTCTTGTATTAATTGAACTATTTGATTCAAGATCATAATGGTAGCATTCCAATACAAAACAATATAATTTCCAGTCATCACTTATGTGATATAACGAAATTCCACAAAATTGAGTACCTTAAAGGACAAAAGAAATAGTATCAGAGGTGTGTGAAACGTTATTCCAACGAACTCGTATGGATATCCTTCCAAAAATCAACAACAACAGTGTATTCACGCATTTTCTCACAAATTGAAATTAATTGCTGATGCTTTTGATTATATAATTTACTAACATGACGGCTGACTTAGGAAAGAGAAGAAAATCATCTTGCTGCGATTAGAATAGATTAAAAAAAGTTTTTCTTACTGTTGTTGGATGTGATAGTAGTTTTTCAACATTAATTTCTTTAGATATAGATAAGTATTTGCCGGCATCGAAAATTTTTTTGTGCAAGATTTTTGAAGCCTATTCCATAATGTGTTTTAAATGATCGAGAATCAAGTGCTGCAAATTCAACACAAGCAACTTTGATTTCCTGCTTTATTCAAGCTGGAATAGCAGGTGCATTTTTTGAAGATGCGTAAAATGGATCTGATATTTGTCTGATCATGAGAAACTGTGGTTTTGACCTTTTGGCAGCTATTAATATGTTTAGGTAAAGAATTAATACCAGAATATGATTTATAAATAAGTAAATCTTTACATTGATGGCAAATAACACATTCCTGTTGGATATCGTTAACATAAATACGACTAAAACTATTCCATACAACTGAAGATTTTGGTGTTACTGTTGGTTTCCCTAGTGGGGAATCCCTGGAGAGTCCCACACTCACCCTCGGTCCCTAGTGGAATTCCTGTCATGATTTTCCAGGGACATCGAGGGGATTTTATAGAGAGATTTTACTAGGGGTAGATATTATGATAAGAACGTCGTGTACGATCGTTTGCAGTGGTCGTAAGTCTCATGGTATATTCCTGGGGAGTCGCTAGCAAATCCCTAGAAAGTCCCACTTAAATCCCTGGGGACTTTTTGACTCCCTCGTAAATCGGTAGGGAATCCCTGTCGAGATTTCCCAGGGATTCGTTTAGGGATTCTCGACTAGGGTTGACAATTCTCAATGACGAATTTTTTTTTATCAATTAATTGCTTAATTTCTTTTTTCGTTAACATAGTTTGCTTTTCAATAATCGAAAAGTTTCAATTTAATGACCATTTACTAGTGAAAAAATGAACAACAAGAAATAACTGTACATTCACTTTATTTTTGAAGTGGCCAATGAAGAGGTAAAACCTTGTACCTTTATCTGTTTATGTACACAGAGGGTGCCAGATATTGGTGAGAAAAAGATCGGGTCTAGACCCGATCAGGTCCGGATCCAAAAAAACATGGATCTGCAGCTCTCAATCCGACAATCATTAATAAATTAATATTTTTTGACGTTTGAAACAATGCCTATCAAATGTGCAAATAAATTGAAATTTTTAATTATTTCATGATTTTATAGAATATTGTTTTGAAGAGTCTCAAAATACCCATTCAATTGACTAGAAAATGTAGAATCAGGTGCAGATCAAACGTTTTGACATTTCACAGAAATTAATTTTTTTTTTGAAAAGTATTTAGCAATAAAATTCAAAACAAAACTTTAACTTAAAAAAGTATTGTACTAAAATGAACAATTATTTTCTTCAAAACATACAATAAATTTTCGATTGTAACTCATTCACTAGTAAACACAGAACATAAACAATTGAAAACAACCGTTCCTACATAAAAACAAAATATTTTCGTTATTATTTAGGTTTTTTCAGTAAGTCGACGAATATTGTTCTGGGTTCTCTGTCGACTTGGATTGTCAATAGGAAGAAGCTTCTCATAAATAGCCAATGCACGCTGATAATAATCAAGTGCTATGGTTTGCTTGTTTTGATTTTCATAACAATTGCCAATACTATTCAAACTGAAAGCAGTATCAACATGACCAGATGGATAAAATTTTTCTCGAATTTTCAATGCTCGCTGATGATAATCAAGAGCTTCATTGTACTTTCCTTGCGATTTAAGAATGAGACCAATGTTGTTAAGGCTTTGAGCAATATCGATATGATCAGATGAATAAACTTTCTCTCTCATTTTCAACGCTTGTTGATGATAATCGAGAGCCTCATCAAGCTTTCCTTGGTTATTGAGAATAGCACCTATATTGTTAAAGCTATGAGCAATATCAGCATGGTCAGATGGATAAAATTTCTTTTGAATTTCCAATGCTTGTTGATAATAATTGAGGGCTTCATTGAACTTTTCTTGGTCCTTATGAATGTTACCAATCCAGATAATGCTCGTAGCTATAGCGGCATTACCAGATGGACAAAGCTTTTCTTGAATAGTCCGTGCTTGTTGAAAATACTCGAGAGCTTCATCGTACTTTTGCTGTAGATAGAGAATAATACCAATGTTGTTCAGACTATCAGCAACTTGAGTATGACCAATTGGATAAAATGTCTCACGAATTTTCAATGCTCGTCGATGATAGTCGAGAGCTTCATCGTACTTTCCTTGTCGATAGAGAATGTTACCGATATTGTTGAGTACATGAGCAGAATCTTTGATTCGTACTGGTTCATTTTTCATCATTTGATCATACGCACTATCATAATATTTTCGAGCTTCATTCCATTCACCTTTAAAATCAAGAGCTCGACCAAGATTAAATTCAATCCAAGCACGATCTTCATCATTGGAATCATTTAATAGTTGTTGAAAATATTCTTGAGATCTATCATATTTACCTAAATTACACAATAATCTTCCAAAAACAATTGAAACACTTAGTTCTTCTGTTTCTTGTTGTGTTAATTCAATAAAGTCTTTAGTAATTTTTTGTCCTTGATTTGAAAGTTTCATTTTAATTATTTTTAATAAATCATTTTCTTCAATAGATATAATTTTAAAACAAGTATTTAAATCAAATAATATTTCTTCTTCATCTGGATGATCACTAAATGGAACAATATCAGCAAAAACAATATTTTTATCAATTGTTTTTAAATCACATTCAATATGAAAAAGAACAGGAATAACATCTATTCTTTTTGTTGATTTTAATGCAAAATGTAATGCTAATGTTTTTTTTCGACTTGTTGATACATATCCATTTAATGAAATAAGTTTTCCTTGATTTTCTTTTATTTTATTAAATTCTTCTTTAACCATTTTAACTCCTCGATAAACTTTTAAGATTTTTTCTTCTGATAATAAAATTTTTTCATGTTCACATCGAAGATTTTCAGATAGATCAGCAACAAAAAATCGAAATGCATATAATAAATCAATATCTTCAATTCTTAATGCTTTATTAATTAATTTATAAATAAATGATTGTTTTGAATACCAACGAATTGCATCTGTTGATTGATAATTTTGTTCAAAATCATAAATTAATTTCATTTGTTTTCTATTTCCACGATAATATTGTTTACATATTTGAATCATATGTTGTTTTGCATTTTGAGTTTTTGGAAGACGAACAATAACATACCTAAATAATTGAAACCAAAGAAAATGTGCTGATTCTTTCGATAAATCTTTAGTTGATTTTTCATGTCGATCAAAAAATGAACATGTTTGTATATGTTTATGAATAAAATCAATTTGTTCTTTAATTGAATTACATAAATCATCTAAATGATCATAGATTCCAATAATATTTGAATATTCATTTAATAAATGTTCATGTCGATCTTTATTCATACAAAAAATAAAAATTGAATCAATTTGACGAAAAGCAGATATTATAGGTAAAATTTTTGATGCTGTTGATCCTGTTGTAATGAAAAAAATTGTTTCTTGATGAATTAATTGTATTAAACCCATACATTGTTCAATATCACTACAATAAATAATATAATCATTTATACGACGAATTTGTTCTCTTGTTGTTTCAGCATCTTCATATAAACCAATATATGGATCAAACCAAATAATTGTTACACTTTCTTTATTTTCTTTATTTGTTGGAATTAAATATTGATTAAATGAAGAATTATTTGTTGTTTTTTTATTTGATCTTGAATTTTTTGCCATTATTATTTTTAAGTAGTAAAAGTTTGAGTTCAAAGTAAGAAAAAATATAATCTAAACTGATGAAATATTGAAATGAATAAATATTTTCTTCAATCAAAATCACAAGTATTAGTTATTTCTTTTTCTTCTAATTAAATTAAAATATTGATTTTTGGTTTTTATTTTCGTTTTAGATGTATTAGAACTTAGTGAAACTTTTGTTTTGTCATTTTACTATTCATAAAGGTTTTTTCCATTTTTAAGATACCGATAATTCAAACTTTGAGCAAAGTTATTAGTGACTTTTCTTTTTTCTTTTTATCATACTCGTCTAGTTTATTCTAAAGATATTGTTTATAATATATTCAAACATTGTTTTGATAGCAAAACTAAGGAAAATGTTTTGTAAAAAGTAGGTGTTTTGTTTTTAGTTTTTGACCTACAATCATAAGGATTAAATATAGGAGATTCCTATTAAGAAATTTTGATCATATTAACTTTTGTTTTAAATGACTTCAATATAGATATTTTTTACTAATTCTAAGTATTATGTTTCTTGCCTTTATTCGAAGAATGAACAGGTATCGAGCAGCTACAACGACCAAATATTTGTATATTAACGTGCTTGTTTATTAATTTATTATTTTGTGTATTCGTTACGCAGAACGATAGAAAATGTCCACGTGATGTGCAAAAAAAAATGTAAACTCGAGCTATATGTTTTTTCTTTCGCCATTTTATACATAGATGGTACTTGACGAGGTTACTGAAAATCTGTATTTTATTTTTCTTTGAAAGATTTTTGATAAAAAGTTTAAATTTTTTCGATAATATATTTTTTCATACTAAAAATTTGATAAAGTTTTTCATGTTGAAAAAGATTGTCCATATGTGCTCATTGTAAAACTGATATGTTTCGATTTGCAATTAAAAAAAGAAACTGAATATATAAGACTAATGTATACATTAGTCTCATACATTCAGTTTTCTTATGATCAATAGAAACATATCAGTACATATGGACAATTTTTTTTTAAACATCAAAAACTTTATCAGAATTTTTAGTATGAAAAAAGTATTATCGAAAAAATTCAAAATTTTTCAAAGAAAAATAAAATACATATTTTCAATATGCTCGTCAAGTTCTATCGAATTATATTACAACATTACTCTTACCTACATTTTTTACATATGTATAGATGGACTGGGTGGCAAAACATCGAAAAGCAAAACGTCGACAGTGCAAAATGACGAAAATTTTTTAATCTATACTACAGAAAAAAATATGACTCATACACATATCCTGTTGGTTGATTTACATTATTTTCGATAAAAGTCATCCTAATGTTTGATACGTCATCTCAACTTTGAAAAAAGAAAAGATCTATTTGAGACAATAAATTCTTGATATAAAGAATAGCAAAAGTAAAACAACGTCAAGTAAAGTCTTCTGATACAAGACAGACTTAAAACACTTCCAGCTCGATTCCATAATGCAGAAATCAATGTTTCAAGAATATTTACAAGAACTGTCTTTCTTTGTTGCAAAAGATGTGAAAATAAAAAATAAACTCATACTTGTATGTCTTTTTTCTGTGTATCTAACTTGAAATATAACAATTTTGTGGAGCTTACATAAATTTTCGAAGAAAATAGTGAGTATAAGTTTTAAGTTGAAGTTTTCCGACTCCTTTCTCCTTCCTCCTTCCCATTACAGATTTTAGCAACGAAGATAAAATGCAGAAATAAATAAGAGAAACGTTTCTCTGACAACTGATTACCTTTGCAAGCGGCTATCGCCTATTAGAGAGTTCTCAATTTATATAGATTTTTGTCTATCAGTATAATGAAACTAAGGATATATGAGTTCCAAATTTTAGTTCCAATAGAGCTGCGTTAACAAGCTTTTTTCAACTACTCTTATTACTCTAGTACTCAACAATGATCAATATTTTCTTTCAATTTACAGATGTAAATTAACAAATGATACAGTACTAAAGAATTCCTAGGGCAGTCTCATTCGATATTCCACATTTTCGACATTCTTATATTTCGATGTTTTGCACATTCGGCATTTTGACTTTCGGTGTTTTGCCACATTACCGTTTCACTCATGAGAAGAAGTTAAGTTAGTCGCATTGACGACTGCTTTGTTTATCGTAAATTAGGGATGAAACTTTTTGTCTAGTTGAAAAAAAAGGATTTTTAGTTCATTCTATTTGTTAACTGAATTTAAATTTCATGGAAAAAAAAATTTGCCATTTAGTTTTAAGACGTGGATAACTGTTAGTTTAAAAAAAAACAACTTATAGTGGTGATAGTTACATATATATCACTAGACTACGGATTGTCTTTAAAGTTATAATTAGCTCTTTTCATTTCATAATTTCGTATATCTATAGTGTTATACTTGATCTGAACTAAAATCAATCTTTAAAATACTAAAATATGCTGTAGGTTTTTGAACACTAACAGAACTGCTTGTTTTATGAAAAAATACACTATTAAGAGCAATCTTTGAAAGAAATAAAAAAGCCGTAGAAATACTCACAAAAATCTTCTTTCCAACTGTTGAAGAAGAAGTCACGTCTACTGATCGCTATACTAACTATGTTAAGAATCCTCTGCTAAATCATTATCACTTACAGATTTGATGGATATAGAATTGAATCATATTCCTAATTTTAACAAAGTCTTTTGATCTAAAACTGATAGTTACTTTGAAGATTTCTATCACTAATATATCTGCATGTTTCTTAGTAAATTCATAATAATGATATTATTGAAATCAGGTTATGATTGTCTATGATTTTCAGAGTATGTTTCATAGAACTGAACTCGAGATCTTCTCGATGAGTTCTATACAACAATAAAATTGATCAAAAGAAGACATACATTACACTTTACTGTTCATTCGTATCAATACAAAAAACGAAATCTACTGCATACACACTGCTTTTATAAAATAAAAACGTGTAAAACGGGTTTAGGACAGTTGCTCGCTATAACAGTTACATAGGGTCCTATAGCGAGCAAGTGTTCGCGCGCAACTGTCCGGATCCCTGTTCCGAAATTTGCTAGAAATAAATGTATCGTAATGACATCTATAATTTAATTCTTGAAATACTAATTAAACATTTACTCATTTTTGTTTCAATATAATAACTAGATTTGTTTTCTATATTATCTATTCTTTTTTTCTTGTTGAATCGTATAATAGTACATTGCATCAACTTTGTAATTGGTTGTCAATATTTCATTTTGTTTATTTTTATTATTATACAGTCTCTAATATTAACAAACAAATATTTCTTATTTTAATAGATAATTCTCTAATATAATAAATAGTTTTCCGTTTTCTTTATTTTTTTGTATAAATTTTTAGATTTTATTCTCTATCTTTTTGATCATATTTCAACGAACAAGAAAAATACTATCATGGTTCGATATTCACGTAAATTTTAAATTATTTTTTATTAAAAATTTTTATTCAATATGTATATCTCTTTAGGTACTGTCGAAAATCCAGCTAAATCATGTAAAACACGTGGTGGTTATTTACGTGTTCATTTTAAAAATACACGTGAAACAGCTAATGCACTTAAACGTATGAGTTTACGACGTGCAACACGTTATTTAAAAAATGTTCTTAATAAAAAAGAAATTATACCATTTAAACGATATAATGGTGGTGTTAGTCGTAAATCACAAACAAAAATATTTAAAGTATCACAAGGACGTTGGCCTAAAAAATCAGCTGAAATTCTTTTACAATTATTAAAAAATGCTGAATCAAATGCTGATGTTAAAGGTCTTGATATTGATCATCTTATTATTGATCATATACAAGTAAATCGTGCACCAAAAATTCGTCGTCGTACATATCGTGCACATGGTCGTATTAATCCATATCAATCATCACCATGTCATATTGAATTAATATTAAGTGAAAAAGAAAATCTTTTAACATATACAAGTGATATTATTGATGATCAACCAACAAAAAAAAAGAAAGAATCAAAAAAGAAACTTAAACGACAAAAAATGATGGCTAAAGAATAAATGTTTTTTCTTTTTTGTTTCATCATTATAGGAAAAAAAAAAATCCGTTGTTTTAAGAAACAGTATTTTTCATGTTTCTATTAATAAAAAAAAAGGATTTCATTGACGGATAGGAAAAAAAGAAAAAAGTTATGTTTTTTTTGGATTAAAAGAAGAATAAAACTTAGTATAAAACATTCGAATTTTGTTATGTAGACATTTGTAGATTTTTTAATTTTATTTCATTCCAATGAATCTATTTACAAAAGCTAGAAATAGTTTATTTGGTGCAAGTCAACCAAAAAATCCTCATTCACTTGAAAATCTTAAGTAAAAAAAAAAAAAACTATTAATAAAAATTAATATCTTAAATAATTTTTCTATTTATTTAGATATTTATATGGTGTTTTACAACGAAATCCAACTATATCGGATGCTAATCGTGATTTATTAACTGAAACACTTCGAAGTATTTCAGAAATTCTTATATGGGGTGATCAACATGATAGTTCTGTATTTGAGTAGGTTATTTCAATATAATAAGCAAAAAATATTTCTATCATAGAAGATAAAAATGTTTTAATTCTCTTATCTTTGAAAATTAAAACGAATATTAATAGTTAATTGAAGAAAAAAAAAAAAACATCACTAATTTATATTATTAAGATCAACTCAAAAAAACAAAACAATATATCATTTGTTAGCTATGTGATACAGAAAAAAAGTTTACAAATCTTGCCAATTCAAACAAAAAAAAAAGCTTTTTTTCGATCTTTGAAGTAATAAATTTTAAAAACTTGTCATAGATTTTTCTAACTGAATTTTTCGATTTTAATACAAAAATAAAAGTCAATGTAACATTGAAGTAATTCCAAAGATCATAGAATTCAATATATTTGATCTTACTTTCAGAATCCTATAAATCCGAATAGGCTAATTTAAAAATAAAAACAATCAATTTTACTTCTATAGGATTGAGAAAACTAATGTTCTACGTTACACTATGTAAAAGCCAAGAATTTCTTAAGCTGTTTAGCAATCGAATGATGTAAAAAATATTTTTATCAAAGATCGTCCGAAGGGCTAGTTCCGTAAAATGAGTAATTGTTCCTTGAATGTTCTTCTGTTTACTGTCTAACGGAAAGGTTCTTAGACTGTAATATGGGTTTCCAAAAAAAAACGGATTTTCCAGATATTTTTTGATCTTTTACGATTTTGAAAAAACAAAATATCTTTCTATTTAATCCTATAACATATTTAATGAGTCTTATTCTTTTTTTTTTAGTTATTTTCTTGAACGAGGAATGTTAATCTATTTTCTTACTTATATGCGTCAAAAAAATGGACGTTTTATATGTGTACAAATATTACAAACACTTAATATACTTTTTGAAAATATTCGTAATGAAACATCATTATGTAAGTAAATTATATTCTTAAATTTTAAGAAAATAGTTTATTTTATTTGTTTTATAGATTATTTATTATCAAATAATCATGTAAATAATATTATTATACATAAATTTGATTTTAGTGATGAAGAAATAACTGCATATTATATATCATTTCTTAAAACACTTTCATTAAAATTAAATAAACATTCAATTAATTTTTTTTATAATGAAGTATGTCTTTTGTTTTTCTTTTAAAAGATGATTTTATTTTTATTAGAATTTTTTTTTTGTATTAGAAAAATAATGATTTTCCATTATATGTTGAAGCAATTAAATTTTTTAATCATCCAGAAACAATGGTTCGTATTGCTGTACGAACATTAACACTTAATGTTTATAAAGGTAATCTAAAATTAAAATATTTTTAATGTTAGAAAATATATATATATTTTTCTTTTTTTTGTAGTACCTGATGCAACTATGCATCGTTTTATATTGGATTGTACAGCAACAGAATATTTTTCTAATCTTGTCTGGTTTATTCGAAATCATGTTTTAGATTTTGATAATTTAATCAGAAATAATCGAGAGTAAAAAAAAAAATAGATTTTATTTATTTATTTTTTTTTGTCTTTATTTGTTTGTTTAGTATTAATAATCGTGGTCAATTAATTAGTAGTTTAGAAGAGTATTTGGATCATATACATTATCTTCAAGATATTTTTTTACTTAATGTTGATAGTTTAAATAATGTACTTAAAGATCAATTAATGAATCGATTATTAATACCAGTTTATATATTTTCATTAATTAAACGTGATAAATTTTCTCGAGTTAAAGTAAATAGAAGTTTTTTTTTGTTTTTTTTGAATAAAAAGAATATTGTCCGTCATATAAAATTTATATAGTTGAATATCAAAAGAATTTTTCTTTAAGTTTCTTAATTATAGGAATCAAAATTCTAGTGATTTATTATAAATGTATCACTTATATACTATGATTATGGATATCCCTTCGTCTCTTTTTTAACACTTTTTGATTCTCGAAGACGGTACAATCGATCAAGCGGAAATTTTCAGTACAGATAGAACACTCAATACATGTTCGAGGAAAAAAAATTTGAAGTAGATTTTCCAGAGGTCCACATCCTGGTACATTACGATCCCTCTCAAAGTTTATCCGACTGGGCTGAAATTTTTTGTTTTTTAAATATCTAAGACTATTCCTCAAAGGTAAATTTAAGCTTTTTCAAAAATCTCACTTTCTTTTTATCTTTTTTTTATAAGAGAAATACGCCAAAACTTTCGGAACCTTGTAACTTCGAGCGGAAACGTCAAAAATGAAAATACTTTCAAGTATTAAAAATTTCAGCCCGATCGGACTAAGTTAATGGAGGATCGTAAACAACCGAGTTTTCGAAAATTGTTGTTTTACATAACGCTAAGTAAAAGGGAAAAGGTTATATGTGATTACTATGCAAAAAAAAATAATTTCTCAATCCAATAATTCTGTAAAAGTAAGCTATTTTGAGTCATAGCATTTCAGGCCATCATATCTTATGTTCAGCTCGAAATCGAGTTTTTGGTCACAAAAGAAAGGAGATACTCTTAACGGGAGTCCGGAATTTCGGCCCAAGAATTTTTCGTCCCAAACTTTCGGCCCGGTCCAAAATTCCGGTGATTTTTCGGTCCGGACCGAAAATCCGAAAGAAATCTCGGTCCAGTTCTTAATTTAATTTAATTAATTAATTATTAATTAGTAAACTTCATAGTGCTGAGCA